TGGCAAGGGTTGGGGTACCTCTTAGACAGAAGGGCAGCTGCTCCCTCACCCCCCTGGCCTATAGCCCCCACAGCCCCTCCCCCGGGCCCAGTGCCCTTGGTAGCCCATGGCCAGGCTGGGTCCCCTGGGTATGCTGGTGAGGAGGGTGAGGGAGGACTGAGCTGCTGGGCAGGGGACCAGCCAAGGCCCCAGGACTCCCTGGGCACAGAGCAGCTACTAGGAACAGACTCGGCCCTTGGTCCTGTCTCGGGCCTCTGTGCTGAGCTCCAGGACACAGAGTGGGATGGAGTGGTGGACTTGGTGTCCACTCAGCTAAGCAGGAGGATCCTGTGTGACTCCTTGGCTGCACTGTCAGGGCTGGCCCCTCAAGGCAGCCCCTAGGGATGTGTTCTGAACCAACAGGGCGTCACAGACATCTGAGATATCATGTAATAGTGTGTGTATCTGTGTGTAAGAAACTTCAGGAAGCCTGGACCTCTAGGGTGAACTGGTCATACAGAATGGCCAACCTGCAGTTTGCCGTGCAAGGATGTTTATCTGAAATAGCCACAGATAGACAGGGACTCCTTCATGTCAACTGTAGAGGCTTTGTGGGGCCAAGAATGATCAGAGGGCTGGGCCGTCTTTAACAATCCCAGTGTAGGGCTGGCCACAGTAGCTCAGAACTGTAATCCCAGCTATTCAGGAGGCCTGGGTAGAAGGATGGTGACACAGTCCACGCTGGCCTGACCCTATCTGAACAATAAGGTATAACATGGTTGGGAGCATGGCTCAAGTGGCAGAGTGCCTGCTTAGCAAGCACCAGACCCTGAGTTCAAACCCCAGTACCACCAAAACAGAGTTCCAGTGTGAGAGCACACTGGAGCTTGTGCTAGAAGCATTCTCAATGTGCCACATGTTGCTGGACAGAAGTGTCCTGGTGTGTCCTTTTCTGCAGTTTTCTTTCTGTCCTAAAGTGTATCTTGTGTGCCCTCAGGGAAGTAGCTTTTAAAAGAGCCCACGAGTCAATTCTGTTAAGAAGGAAGCAGCTTTCAAATCTGTGTTCTGATTCCAACACAGGATTTCCTGAGAGGAGGCTTGCACGTGTGACTGGACCTCTGAGGTTGCTTCCCACACCCCAAAGCAGTGTGTGTTGTGTGTGGGTGTAGGTGCATATATGTGTCATAAGTATTAAAAGTATATGTATGTGTGTAAATCTATCACCTAGCTATCATTTATCAATCATCCATCTATATGTTCCTTACAAATTCACTTATTTTAATCATTAAAAACTATGAATAATTGGTACCAATGCCCTTGACCTATGTCACATGACAAAGGCAGGTCACAGAGGTGTAAGAAGGAAGCAACTTTGGAAAGACTGCACCAAAAGTCACTTGAAAGCATCACAGGGTACCTCAGTAAGATGTAAACATTTTTTAAAAATTTCAAAATCCCACCTGAATAAACTATAAAGGGCTTGCCTTCAGCAAATGGCTCTCCTCTTCTTTTTGTACTTCTGTATTTTCCAAAGTGTCCATGGATGGTGGTACATTTTTAATAACATCTTTTAAATTTTTTTATTTTCTTTGCGGTGCTAGGGATCAAAGCCAGGGTCGTGTGCACACTAGGGATTGCTCTACACCAAGCTACACTTCAGTTCTTAACTTTTTACTAAGACATAACTTGTATACTGTGAAACTTACTTTTTAAAAAATGTACACATTAGTGATTTTTAACATATTAATAAAATTGTGCCCCACTTTGGTGGAGAGTTCGGATGAACGAGCATCATGGGGCTTCAGGGATGTTTGAGTCCAGCATTGATCCCTCCAGGCTCAGCTTCTCCCTCCCAGGGCTCAGACTTCCCAGCTATAAATCAGATGCTCCTTCATCTAACTATGCTTTTGGCCCCTCTTCTATCTGCACAGACTTTCATGCCCACATAGTTTGAGTGGGAGACATCTCTAAAACTGGGCTGGCAAAATCGTAAGGTGCCAGGTCACGGGACATGGAACTACCTGTATTTCCATGCCCCATTGCTCTGGTGAGGGATCCCAGGCTCCTCAGAATAACTTGGGTCCTTGCTATGAGCAGGAGCCCCTCCCCACACAGCCCCTAGAGGGGTCACTGCTGGCCTGGCCTCAGGTGCAGCCTCTTAATGCCAAGTGGGCACTCAGCAGGCTGACCTTCGTGGCAGCACTGACTCCTTGGGGAAGTGCCAGCTCAGACCACTTGCCTAGTTTTACACAGAGCTCACTCGAGGGTGCAGAAGAGGTTTAGCTCTGATGGGAGTGGGGAGTGCATTCCTTCTCTGTGTACATGATTTCAAAACACTTTTGAGGTACAGCTTTCCTATTGATTCCCTTCTAGTATTCTGAACGAATTAGTCTGTAATTTTTTACTTTTTTCTATTTATTGCTGACCCTTTTGGATTTATGAGGCCATGCGAAAGGAATTATGTATTTTACACACACACATTTGGCATGGTAATAAATCTCCCACATGGAAAACCTGCAGATTTGCCTCAAATTCCACAGTACTTGTCTTGCTGCGTGGGGTTGGTGCTGATGGTTCAGCAGACACTGAGGCTGTACCACAGTGGAACCTTCCCTGGGGCCAAGCAGGTTCATCATGGCACTAGAGTCATTTTTTGGCCTTGGCACAGCACTCTTGAGGGAGGCTGGCTGTGGGGATCTAATAAAAATCCAGGCCATGTCTTCAGATGACAGACAGAGCTGGAGGGGGGTGGGGCTATGAAATGACTCTGGTGGGCAGAGCAAAAGTATATCTACCGAAGGCACTAGACACTTTTCATGTCCCCAACACCGTGCACGAGCTGAGAGCTATGGCATTCAGATGTATTGACCCAGGCAAAGCTTCAATGCCGGATCCCCCCCTCCAAGGTCTCGGGCTGTGCCCGCACTCGTTCTGCTCCTTGATAACTGCTTAGGTCAATAAATCTTGACACCAGCCTCAGGAGACGTCATTATCTTTCATAGAAAATGGTTATTTCTCAGTTAAACCCCACATTTAATTTTCCTGTGATCTGTCTCTTTCAGCTAACCATGCTAACCATGTCCCTCCTGCACAAAACGTCCACGAGGGTGCCTCCGGCTTCCGCATCCCAAATCATCACACAGACTTCATGATGCCCTTGAGTTCCCACCCTGCGAGGCCATAACGGTCACTCTCACAAAACACACGAAGGCCACCAGGGCCATTCAGGAAGGGTGACGGGTGCACATGCCGGGAACCACAGCAGCCTCCATCCTGACTGTGCCTCCCGCACGGTGCCCCCCGTCCCACTTGCACTGTGCCCCACTGCCTTCAGGTTGGAATTGAGCTCTGTGGCTCAGGCGCTCCTGCCCCAGGACAGCCCTGTCCAGTTCATTCCCTCCCCTCCCTGCCCCAAATCAGGCAGGAAGGCAGCCCCTCTACATATGGGGACGGGGTCTGTGCCTGTTCCCCAGGCAGCTTCTGGGACTTGAGAAAAGCCTGCAGTTTCCGTATCAGACCCCATGGTCTCTTATCTGCTCACCCTATGGCCATGATGAAACATCAAACCGCTTCTCTGCCTTGTTCCCCAGCCAGTGTCTCCCTTTGCTCCAAGAACACAACTGGGAGTAGGCCATGCCTGCTGCTCACCTGCAGGGAGCTTTTCCCCAAGGCTGTGTAGTTCCAGGTTGTTGATATTTGATGATGCTAAGAGCCAACCCATGGACTGCGGCTGCCTGGGTCTGAATTCCAGCTCCACTAGAGCAAGGGTACCATCTGTGACTGCAGGTCCAGTCACTGGAGGCAGGCATTGCCCCTCTGCATGATGTAATTGTGGATACTTACCTCTCTTCTGCTCTGACCTTGGCTTTCTCACTGTCCTTTCAATGTGCCAGCACCCGTCCACCTCGGGGCCTTTGCATACACTGCTTGGACCACTTGTCACCTCTCTCCACTCCTTCTTCACGCAGTCACCTTCTCAGACAGGCCTCCCTGTCTTCCCATGCACGACAGCCCTTACCACCACTCCCCCGCTCTGCATGGCTTTTAGGTCCTATTTTGGGTCTGCACACTCAGGGGCACCAGGGCATAGTTTTGTCCTTGCTTTGTCTCCAGCATTTGGTGCAGAATAGAAATGTTAGCATAGGAAGGCAGGAATAAGCAAACAGAATGAAGAGGAAGACGCACTGGGGTTCCTGGTCTGGATCATCTTCTGTAGGGTTTCCTAACCTTGGCTATCAGTGAGACCCTTTTCTCAAACAAAACTTATACAGGGCCATAGAAATATAAAGAATAAATAGATGACTGCATCTGAAAAATGTATTTTATTCACTTAGGTAAAAGTCAACCACCATTATGAGCCAAGGCAGAGGAGAACTTGGACCAATGGATGGTCTTCGCAGACCAAGATCAGCTCTCATCTGAGTCCTTTCCTTTAGGTTTTAGTCATAATTTGGAGAACCTAAAACTTAAGAATAGAGGGGAAAAAAAGCCAGGTCTCGTGCCCAATTATGCACACACACACACACACACACACACACACAAAGGCCATGTGAGATTTTATTTCCTAGGTTTGCGGAGAAAGAATCAACCTTGCAGCCGAACTCCGTCCTAAAATTTAGTAGGTGACTTTGCAGAGAGGGGCTGCTACATTCGCTAAGAGTTAAAAAGCTAAGGTTGGCACCGTGGACCCTCTGAGCCCCAGGCAGGTTACACGGATTTCAGGTAAATGGCAAATCATTTCTAAGTCTAATTATGTCCTGTTAAATTTGCATTTCAGATTTAATAAAATAAAACAAACCCAAACCCTGACTCGCTATGCATCTGAAACTCACATCTAGCCCAGCCTCGTCCGTTTTCACTTGCTGAATCTGGCAAACCTGGTCCGGGACGGAGTCCCGCGCGCGTGGGCGGGGCCAAAGTCATTAGGGCGGGGCGAGCGCACGGAGGCGGGGCCGAGCGCACGTGGGCGGGACCAAGCGCATGGGGGCGGGGCCGGCGCGCGCGGCCACGTGACGGCGGTTGCCAAGGTGAAAGGTCGGCGCGCCGGCGGCACTCCCAACATGGCGGCGGCCGGGGTGGCTGCGCGCAGCCCGGGAACCCGAGCGCGACGCCCGCCCCCGCCTCGGGCCGCTCGGCTGCTGGTGCTGCTGGCTGCGGCGCTGGCGGGGCCGGGGGCGGGCGGCGCCGCGCGGCTGTACCACGCGGGCGAGGACGCCGTGTGGATGCTGGACAGCGGCAGCGTGCGCGGGGCCACGGCCAATAGCTCGGCCGCGTGGCTCGTGCAGTTCTACTCCTCGTGGTGCGGCCACTGCATCGGCTATGCGCCCACCTGGCGGGCGCTGGCTGAGGACGTGCGAGGTGAGGGACCTGCGCGCCGGGCCCGCGTCCCTTCCCCCCGCCACAGGCCAGCCCTGCCCCGGCCCTTGCCGGTGAGCGAGCCGCGCCAGCTGCCCGCACGGACTCCGGTAGTCCCCGGGCCGTCCCGGCTAGCTGGTCGAAATGAGGGAGCCCTTTCCGGTCCTTCCCGCCACAGAGGGGGACCGGCAGCTCTGCAGATGGCTCCCCGCTCTCAGAACACCTCTTTGAGCCCCCAAGAGCTTCATTACCCACCTCTAGTTTCCTGACCCATTTGGTCAGCTATTAAGAGACGCGCACTGACCTACCTCATCGCTAAATAATTCCACTTCAGAACTTAGCATCTCCGTTCTTTGAGGATTCCCCCATTCCTATCTAAACCCTAGCCGCCTCCTTCCCTTTCAGTCTTCATCCTCTTCCTGGTTGGGATAGCTGACCAGATCGTAGAGATCAGTGCGCTCACAACTTTTGAACCCAAGTAGACTGATCTGTGGAGGCAAAAGAAGACCTACAAAGCATGTCGTTGGAAGATTGCTTGTTCACAGACCGACTCTTCACCAAGATCCTGGTATCCTTTCCACACTTTTGTTGGTTAGCAATTTCTTAGTCCTACGAATTGTTGTACTCAGTATCTCTAAGTTACTCACCTGATGAACAGCCGGCAGTTACAGCGGGACCGAGCATTTGCAGCTCCTGTAAAATGGGAGTTAAATGGTTGTGCAGGGATCACCTTTCCCAGCATGGCTGAGGTTCAGCAGGGTGGGCTTGCGACTGTTGAGCTAACCTCTAATTACAGGTCTCTCTGGGTAAGAACTGTAACAAATTGCTACTCTTCCTTCCCGCACCTTTGGTGGTCTTGGGTTTTAGGTCTTATGCTGAATGCTGTTGTATTTGTCTCTCACTCAAACGTGTACAAAGAAGCTTTTTCCTCCCCAGATATGCAATTGTAGATGACTCTTTTAAAAATACATTCTCGTCTCAGTGGGGAGGGGACATTTTATTTATTTTTGAGGCTGTAGTCCAGGCTGGCCTTGGACTTTCAGTCTTCCTGTTTTAGCCTCTTGATGCTGGGATTACAGACCCATATTGATTCTGATAGGTTTGTCCTTTTAGATCTCAGATTTTCTTAAGTGCCTGATGAATGCAGGGCAGAACTGCGACCAGAGACTTGGAGGGACAGAAAATTCATAGTGGGTTTTCTTTTCTTTCTTTCTTTTTTTTCTTTTTTTAAGATTTTGCTTTTAGAACAAAAAATTCAATGAACAGAAGACTTCTGTTCTTGCTGTTGCTCAGTAGCACAAACATGAATGTGAAAATGAAACTGTAGTAACCCTGACAAGGCCTTTGTAGTTTGTATTGGGTTTTTCATTTCCTTTTAGTATCTAAAATGTAAAATTCATAACCAGATTCAAATATGGCAAACTGGTGTGTACTAACCAGTGTGTAGGAAAACCCTGAAAATTGTCCCTGGAAGTTGGGAGGAGGTTACTTTTGAAAGTGAGACAGTAAAACCCATACCTAATGCTATGATTTACTTAACTAAGTGAGCTTGCTTTAAAAGGGCTGGCTGACTGCCAAGTCAAGACAAGCCGATGGTTCTGAATCTCAAGAGATGGCTCTGACCTGACCTGACCTGACCTGACCTGTCAGGAGCCTGATAAGGAGGGAGGAGACCATGGGGTGCTGAAGGAAAGGCGCCTATAGAGCCAGACTAGTGGCAAGGTTACCTTAGTTGGGGCATAGACCGAGGGGACTGTCCCACTCGGCCCCAGAGCTTGTTTTAGGGCTGTGGTTCCCAAAGCAGAGTCACTTGGGGATTTTCTAGAAATGTACGTATGTTGTCAGCTACAGCCCAGGCCTGCTGGGTAGGGCCCAGTGTCCTGTTAGCACATACCCCAAAGTTGGAGGATCACTGATCTAAGGGACGCTAATGTGGTGAGACACCTGTAAGAAAGGGCTTGTGGCCAGAGGTGATTAGAGGCATGCCATGTGCACTTTCCCACGTGATGTTGTTCACACATGGGAGCCTTTGCCTCCTAGGAGATGGATTGCCCTCAGGACCCTTCATGGGGTTCCTTGCACACAACTCCCTACAGATGTGGAAAAGTGCCACACTTCCTGCTTCTGCTGAGTACCACGTCCCTGTAGGTGTCACGGTGGTCAGTCTGGTGTCAGTCTGTGTGGCATGATTGGCCACCTGTGAATTGGTCATCCAGCCAGTCCCCTTAAGGCCTGCAGACCTTGCATTGACCCTGCCAGGTGCTACTTCCCCAGACAACACCTTCTCCCCTACCCTCTTCCCATCTCTATACCACTGTGGTCTCTGCTCTCTGGTAGGAGGTTGTCATGGATGGGGAGCCTGAGCTAGAAGAGGGTCTGTACCTGCCCACCCCTCCTATCATCTCTTTGTTACAGTAAGCAGAAAGGAAAGGGGTGATCTTCAGAGGGTGGGACCCCCAGCCCTCAGCTTACAGCTTAGACCACTTCCACCATCTCAAAGACTTAGTGTGACCTTTCTCTAGCTCTTCACTGACTTCAAGTTTTGGGAAAGAATTGTTTTTCCTTAAGAGAGCGGCTTGACAAACAAAAGATTGACTGCTTGGTGAAGCCAAAGGCTGTTCTAGCATTTATGTGAATCTGGCGTAGGCCTGTCACTTCTCAGTCCCTTGCAAAACAAAGCAAGGTGTGTTGCTGAAAATCATTTAGCTTGGGCTGTCACGGTCACTCAATCTGTGATGGAAGTGGATGCCTGCCCTTGATTGCTCAGTGCTGAAAGGTCTCTGCTGAGACCTGAGAAGGTGGGCATGGCTTCTGAAGGTGAGCATGTGTCCTTTGTTTCTCTGTGACCTCACACTTCTTCTCTCCTTTGCTCCTCTTGGGAGAGTAGAACACTGGGAAAGCAGGGCAGGTCTTCTGTCATTGGTCCTAGCATTCTCAATGAGGGACTCAGAGGGGAACATGAGACCTGTTGTGGGTGAAGGACAGAGTGCTCTGTGTCTGCCTTCATGGCCATGGCCTGCCCTGCCTGCCTCGCTACCCCTCAACACCACCTCTTTTCCACCTAATACATCTGGTTTTCTTGTCCATTTGGTTAGGACAGAAGCTTCTTGGAGATGAATTAGACCATTTGGTGTTCCTACAGGGCTTTTCTGCTTGCTGGAAGAAAGTAGAGCAGAACCCAGGAGGCCTGAGGTGCAGTGGGGCTGAGGCAGAACCCAGGGCCTGGAGGCTGCTGGATGCTCACTTGTACTCTGGAGGAAGCAGGAAGGGGTGGAGAGAAAGATAGAGCCAGGTGGTGGAGGCATCCTCTCACCTTGGGCCCAGAAAGTGCTAAGCACAGCCCTGCTGTCACAGCCATGTGACCACTTAACAGTTACCCAGGACAAGGTGCCAGCCAGGCTTCCATAGAGTGGTCTTCCTGAGGTAGCAGCATGTCTGAGACTGAGTCTGCTCACTTTGTTCAAGTAGCCATGTGAGGATGTTTCACATGGCCTTCCAGACTGTCCAGAGGACTGTTATCCACCGTGTACAGCTTAGATACCATGGGTGGAGTGGCCAGGCCATAGACATCTGACTTGGGTGGGGACCCAGTCACCTCTACAGTGCTTCCTTTATTGACTCTCCTGTGTGATGCTTCAACATTTAGTTGATATCTTTGTTAATGTCACCCTTGAGTACTGACAGCCATATCCTGTTTTGGTTTAACAAAACTGAACTGAACCAAATAATGAGGATGGAGACGTAGGCCCCCCTCCCAAGGCTGGAATAGAGCACCTGGGTTCCCACATCAGCCCTGGGAGACTGGCTGTGCTGGTGGACTCATGGGTTTCATTTTTACTAGACCTGTATAGGCCACTTGCAGCTCATCCAGTAAGACTGTTGCTCTGCCAGGAGGGGTCCTGCACCCAGAGAGAAGGTTCTCGGGGTCTGGAATGTGGGATCGCAGTACCCACTGTCCTGACTCTTTGTGAGGGGGAAGAGCCAGAATGGAGCTCAGTACCTCAAACATGGCCCTGCCGTTGACTTTAAATCCAGGTTAGTTAATCTTTACTGTAGTCATTTTCTAGAACTAATTGATGCTTAAACAAAATGGGACTTTTATAGACTTGTTCATTAGAACATGACAGGTAATGAAATTTAATCTCATCACTTTCAGGAATAGAATTACTTGGCCAGTAAATCTGAAATAACTTTTAGGCTACTGTATTTGGAACTTAATTTTTCCCAAATATTTCTAAACCTGTAGTACTAAAGCAGCCAAGTTCCTGAGTGGAAGTGAGAAGTTGCAGGTGGTTTGGCTCCCTTTGGGAGCCCAGCTGGACTGCCTGGGAGGGATAGCCTCTGCGCCTCCCACCTGGCACCCGTTAGCCCCAGTGTTTAGGGGGATGTCCCCAGGCCAGTAAAAGTAGGCAATTTGAATTCAGTTTCAGAGCAACCTTCTTTGTGTGATGACCTAGACAGGTGGGAAAGGCAGAAGAAGGAACTGTTGAATGAGGCCCATACCCTGAAGCTAACCCTTTTCAGTGTTCTGCATTTTGTTTGGTAAAACAGGCGGTATATCTTTTGTGTGCTGTGAATGCAGTCCATCTGCCAGGGCCTCACAGTGACTGCTGGGCTGGCTTCTTCAGTGCCTGTGGTCTGTGTAACCGACATTCTCCCGTCTGCTACAGCCTTCCCACCTGCTGGGTTGTTTGTGCCCAGGCTGGTTTTCAGAGAGACAAAGACTTTATGAGATGCCAACATGCCCCTTCACTGGGACACCCCCCTGTTGTAGTGGGAGGCATTTTATCCTGAGTGTGGCTCTGCAGGTGACTTGTTGATTCACAGGAATCTCAAACAGGACAGGCGGGCTTGCACACTGGTGGAACTGGACTTTCTTCTCTGCAAGAGAGCGTGTTTGTGTTTGCATGCAGCCATGTGGGCTCTGCGTTAATTCATGTATCTATTTGAACGTGTACTCATGGTCTCCTGCCCCAGCTTTGTAGTGGACATGCGGGGCAGCA